AAAATAAATACAAGCTTAAACATCAAAATGTCATTAGGAAAACAACAATGAAAGGGTAAAGTTAAATCTCTAGTTATTATTATTAGTGATTAAGAATGCTTACTATTAGAACTATCAATTATTAGCAAAGATCCTAACTTTTTAAAAATGTAATCTTCTATTAATGATACCTAGGCTCCCTTTGCCCTTTGGTACTTACGAAAGATAGAAACCACATATGAATCTACGATGGTAAAGGGAATTTAGCCCATGTTTGGTACAGTTTTTTAAAATTCATTTTTCCCAAACTTATTTTTATTCTTGCATTCTTTAAAGAAAGAAATTTTGCTCAAGGATCCATAACTTTTCTCCATTTTTTACCACACATTCTCTGAAAATATCACTTTTCACAAAAGTTATTCCATCAAAATCTACATCAATCACGTCCTTAATTACTATAAACATCTACCGGAGATTTTTAATATGTTTTACTTGAGTAGAAATACATAATTTGAGGGGTAAACCCCAATTATGAATGTTTTATGAAGATAATATGTACGATTCGTTGATAGTAAGACTTAGCAAAGCTCATGTTCGGTTTGGTTTAAAATCTCAAGTTAAAGTCAATAATTAATTTTAACGACACATTTTATGGGATCCACAACTTTTCAACAACACATTTCATCGACTTTTTTAAAAATTTACTAAAAAATTGATTTTAATCTCTACCAAATATGAGCTCAGTAAGTTAACTACATTGAGGCTTACGAGTTTCTGTAATTATACATTAGAGTGTACCTTCGATCATTTTTGCGTTTACCGGAGTTGAGTTTAGATTATGGAGTTTGGATTATCTTACGGTTGGAAAAAGGTTGTCGACTCAAAGGTATTAAGGTTAAGATCAAAAACTTGTGGTTGGTGTATAAGCCGCAAATCCCAAGAGTCCCACCGACACTACAAGTAATTATTTAGTCCTTGATTGATTTTTATTATTTGAGAATTACTTCACTCCTAGACTCATTTTCAACTATATATATTCTCTAAAACATAATTTTCACATTTTTTTAACGACTTTTTCTTCTAATCTCTCTCTCTCACACACACACACACACAACTTTTCAAAGAATCACTTCTCAAAAAATTTTTATCAAACAAGCGCTCAGCGGGAATGGTTTCTTGTTTAACGTCTAAAACTTAGGATTCATTTGATTCAAAGATGGAATTTAGATGGAAAGAAAACGAATTGCAGGGAATTGAATTGTCTAAAACTTGTTTTACTGAAAATTGTCAATTAATTGTATTTGATTGATATAATTTTTCATCTGAAAAACGTTGAATGTTGAAATTTTCTATTTTTTTGGTATTCGTTTGACTTTATTTTTCATGAAAATTGTCAATTAAAGGGATAAAATTTCTTA